AGTGACAATAACATCCCAGGCACGGAGGAAGCGAGGTACTGAATCGACGCCTCACAAACAGCCGTCAGCTATATCTGCGAGGTACCACAAAACACAAAACGTACTCCCGGTCGGGAATGCCACTGTGAATGTGATTGCACGGGTGAGCATGCAGTCTGCTTCCAAACCACAACAGGTCTGAGATAAACACTGAAGCCTGCAGTGCCTCGGCCAGCAATGACAGCAAGCCATCTGCACAAAGCTATGCTGAAAGATCCTAGCTCTTTGACGAAGACATGGGCTGGATCCGCATTTGGATAAGACTGCTCAGAAGAGCATGTGGCTGCACCCAAACACAACTTTCACAACTCCATAGGTTAAGCACTATTGCTCTAAATCACTGGCCTGAGATTCCAAAGCACCCGCTTGCGTTTCTGCAATTCTCGGGCCTGCAGGCGGATTCTCGCACGTATCTGTGTAAGACCCGCTGAAGGCAAGCGCGCTACCGACGGACAGGTCGCAACCAGTCTCCCAGTGGCTGCCGTCTCTGCCTGTACTTATATATACTGTTGACGATGAGCTTTGGCGGAGTGTTCCGTGGAAGCCAAGCTAAGGATGCGCCACTGACAGACTGAGACTGCTTATGGGAAGAGGCCGGGGCGAGCTCTCAACACTAGCTATGCAGCTTGAAAACGATTTCTTTGTGGATTCCGTATGATTCCATGCCTGTCCTGCAGGCTCTGAATGGCCCTGAACCCGAAACAGAAAGTCTAAAAGCTCTCCCGGCGGCAGCCATGCACAAGAGGATTGGGAAGGGGCCCAAACAGCTAGAGGCATGGTTAAGGCCTGCAACACCTAATTTATCAACTCTGTCGAGGATCAGGGCCTTTCCCAATCTTGGCATTTGCAGACCGGCGTGGTATCGCCCAGAACGGGTTCTTGAGACCTCACTGGCCGCGGCTCTGCCTGGGCTTGCGAGGGCGTCCGGCACGACGAGTGTTGCGCTGGGCGACGGACTTCTTCCAGGTGCAAAGGTGGCAGTGATCACAATCGGCACCGTCCTTGCAACCCTTGCCTTTGGCCGCATACTTGCAAGCAGGGTTGCATGAAAAGGGATGTCCTCGGGAGCCGAAGGATGCGCACAGGGGATACTGCAAGGTCTTCTCCGAATCTGCAGGTGACTCTGTCTCTGCTGTCTCCGCGCTCTGATCCGCCCAGCTCTCGCAGAAAGCCTGCGTGACATGCTGCACGTAGGAGTCCATGCGGAAGTCGGGGACGGCCAGGGGCTGTGGCGAGGGGGTCTGTAGACGCACTGCTGCGTGCGCCTCCATCGGCCTCCCCCGCACATGCGCCTCCAAAGCCTCTTCCTCATCCGTCTCCTCGCTTTGATCCGCCCAGCTTGCACGGAAAGCCTGTGCGACATGCTTCATGTAGGAGTCCATCCGGAAATCGGGGACAGCCTGCAGGCGTGGTGGGGACGGGGTCTGGAGACGTAATGTAGCCTGCACGTCTGTTGGCCTCCCGCGGCCCACATCCAAAGCCTCCTCCGTCTCCTCGAGATACTCGGCGTACGGGGCACACTTGGGGAGTCCTGTTCGGTCCGGCGAGGGGTCCGGTGTGCGCCAGCCCCGGCGCAATGATGGCAGTCCCCGCTGGGGCTCAGCGAAGACCTAGGTTGGCCCCTCAAAGCCTTTGAAAAATATTCGTAAATAAGATCCTCTTAAGCCCAAGAAGAGAAAAGTTAAACTGTCCCAAAGGCTACCTAGAGACAAGCTTCAGGTTCGAGACGTTTCCACGGCTTTCGTATCCGCGAGGCGTCTCAGCACCATCCTGATTGTGCGAGTCCGAGTCAAAGGCCCTGATCTGCATGGTGTCCCTTGGCTCTCTGAGGATTTTAAGGCCGAAGCTGCAATCCTGTGGCAACCTACGAGCCACGATTTTGAGCCGAAGCGATCCGGGGCGTTTTATGGGGTTTGGGGCTAGGAATGCTCAGGGCGCATGATTCATGGGTCGAACTCTGAGGCTTCTGGGTACTATGGGGGCCTTTCTAATCATGTTTTTGGTGATATGTTCTAGTATAACTAACTAAAAGCAGGATCTCTTAAAAAAGCACTAATGGATATTCAGGCTCCTAAAAAAGGGACCTCCGCAGGCTTGACCCCGCACTTCTTCAGCCCGGCCGCCTCGCCAGATTAACCCCTCGGTGTGTGTGTGGGCATAAACACACAAACAAACAAACACACACACACACACATATGCATGCATACATACATACATACATACATACATACATACATACATACATACATAAATACATACATAAATACATACCATCCATCCATCCATCAACCCATGCATGCATGCATATACATGTATATGTTTCTAGATGTTCGTAGTGTATATGTACATAGACATATGTGTGTGTGTGTGTGTGTATGCATGTGTGTGCATGTACACATTCGCAGAATACGAATGCATACAGAGGTGTGTGTGTATATATATTTACACACAGACATGTAGGCATGTACACATACATGCATACATACGCATGTACAATGGTACGCAAAATAGCTTTCCGTACTATCTCGGAACAAAGTATACAATGCAACATACCGTGAATGGAACATACAGTCTAATTATGTACGTATATAATTCAGTTCACGGCATACCACCACCTCGTAAACATAATATGGCATACAACAAAGCATCAGATAACATTTTGCACACAATACACTCACATACATATATATATATATATATATATATGTATTTACAAAGTTATAGCTATATACATAAATATTATAACTGATTAAGTACTTAATTAAGTAATGAATATCGGGAGAGTGTGAGAGAGAGAGACAGAGAGAGAGAGAGAGAGAGAGAGGGAGAGAGAGAGAGAGAGAGAGAATGGCCTTCGGTTCCAAGATGTCCAGGAGTCGGTTTCCCAGCTGATGAGCGGCCTTGCACTTCTGACTTTAGGGGTCCAGGGCCTAGGGTTTGGCATTATACTTAATGTAGTTGAGGCTCTTTACAAGACCGAGTACAAGCAGGAAGTATACGGCAGGTATAATGACATGGTTGAAGTACCTTTTAAATATGCGCTGGGTTTTTTAGCAGGCGCACTCGACAAGCAGGCGAGGCTTGGGAGGTCTGAGAAGCATCAGAGCACATTAGCTGCACTGGGTTTACATGTAGCATACTTCTGATTACGGAACATATGCTTCACTAAATCCTTTTGCTGTGAATTTCTTGTAGAATTCCGAATTCCCTGGACACCGCCAAAGGAGCCATCAACACATGCAAAATTCTTTCTGGTGTTCGTACTCACATTATTGTTCGTATTCATACTAGTACCCGGGGAAAAAGGTGCCTAAACCCTAAACCCTAAACCCTAAACCCTAAACCCTAAAACTCCACATTCGGGCCTGCCTTCATGAGCTCGTGGGCCGTTGCCTCGAAGTCTTCGGGCTCCTAGATCCGGAGACGGTTTAGGGTTTAGGGTTTAGGGTTTAGGGTTTAGGGTTTAGGGTTTAGGGTTTAGGGTTTAGGGCCCAAATTTAGGAGCCGGGTCCCTTCTGTTCGGTGAGGAGCCTCAGATGGTTGTGAACACGCTTCGGGTCACCGATCTCCATAAACCCTTGAGCCAGGGCCTCAGAGGTTGCGTACCGTAACGAACATCCTGTAATCAGCGGCTGTGCAGTCTCAGGGAGGCTATGGGACGTCCTTTGGCCAACGTCCATCCATGGATCCGCTCCGGGCGGTAATTTGAAGGCTCTCCTTCCTGAGAAATATGGGAGCGTAGGGCGGTGTTGGGGAGAGTGCTGTTAGCTCTCTGCCCAAGCTCTGAACCTTGAAGCTCAAATAGCAGATGCGTCAGCCCAATGCCTGGCCTTGGAGGTGTCAGATCTTTCTCTTGCCACGTTTGTTCGCCTTGAGAGCCTTAGAGATTACTAGATTCTGCGACACTTAATTGCGCAGGCCTAGGACCTAGAATCTTTCCAAAAGCCAGGGCAAGTATGAGCCCAGTTGGGCCCAGTCTCTGATCGGCTGTGCCGGTGGAAGGGCGCACTTGCGAAAAGTACCTGAGGAGCAGAATTGGAGGTTCCGTTTCCGTCAGGAGTCAGGAAGACCACCTATAGCTTGATGGATCTTGGCGCGTTACGGTCAGGGCTTGGAGGGAGCTGGAGACTTGTTGGTCTGTTCCTGGCCACTCTGGATTTGACAACTCTCTTCGAGCAAGTCTCTGAGTGGATCAGAATCCTCTGTGCAGTATTGCACTTCGGGGTTGCTCCGAATCGCTTGCCTTGCGCGGCCAAAGCTCTAATCAGCTCCTGCTCGGGAAAAAACACGATGAAGAAAACCCTCGATGCACCGTCCCATGCTGACCACTGTGCCATGACGCTGCTGCCGATTGTTGTGATTACTATTGTTTTTGCACCTTGTCAGTAGAACACTACTGCAGGATAAGCATCAGCATAGCTAGGCAGCTAGATTCATCAGCATCAGCGTCATGATGATATATAATCAGTGTCATCGCCATGATCATCATGATCGTCATGGTCATCATCATCATCATCATCATCGTCATCGTCATGATGACCACCATTGCTGTCGGCATAAATAACAACACCGTGTTCGTGCACATGTTTACAACCATCTTGATGTGAACCTCCGTCTTCACGACTAATGATGAGGCTCGTGCAGGCCGTGATGACGATGGATAGGATGACAGCTTCCGTCAGCATCATCAGTCACATCATCACTACCATCATCATCATAACCACAGAGTTATTATTATTCATCTTCATATTCATATTCACAATCATCTTGACACTATCATCGTCTTCATCATCATTTTCATCATCAAAACAGTCAGCAGCAGCAGCAGCAGCAG